GCAGGCACGAAATGAAATAGAATAGTGTACAAACCTACTAGAATGTTGATCAAAATCTAAATTAATATAACTATGTGGGTTGTTCTCCATGACACCGTTACTATACTACCTGAGTTGATCAAATGGCATGGCATGGTCTCCATACACTTCACTCCTAGCTTTCTCAATACCCAACCATGACTGATAACTAATGTCTGGCCAAAGTCATTTTTCATACCGAAAACAACGTCCATAGGGTGGGTGAGTAGCTATTCATGCATGTGATCCGCAATTACATCTGACACCAAGTACGATCCTATACGCGGGTTCCTGTATGTTCGTAACGCAGCACCACATGAATGTACATTATTAAACCTCTTCAAACACATCACCCCATTAGAAGCTGACACCCTTTCGTGCACCAACCACGCACACCCAGTTGACATTGCGAACTTGCAGACAGTCGTGATCCGCACTAAGTCATTCTTGAAATACTTAAACTAAAACCCACATTCAACGAAAAACTTGCATAATACCATCTGAAATTCGTTCTCCCTACCCCCAAAAATTTGATCAACATGAGTAATACCATATGCCCAACTAGTAGAAAGAAACATCTTGGATTTGTATGGACAATATAACGGCAACAAATCAGCCTGGTCTTCCATGTCATATGTCAACACATCGTCAACGTCACACATATCAACATCACGACAATCCGCAACCCCCTATTCAATATTGGACACACTACTTCGCGTCTGGATGAGCACATCAACGTGATCGAGACTGAACGACTTCGCAAGGCATAACATGTTTTGAACATCATCCTTACAATCAACCTTGAATTTATTGTATCCAGGGAGAGCAAACAAGAAAAACACCAACCCCAGTGCTAAAATATCAAACTTTCCACAAACAACATCAAGCAACTGTGCAAATGTGAAACCTTCATTAATACGAACAATCGCGCTAGTCAGTCCGTACGTCCACAACAGCAACAACACAACCTCCATAACTGCAAAATACACACACATAATGAAACACCCTACCGCTCGTATACACCACAAATTCAAACAACATTCTGCAATGCAACCACCAAAACACACAACAGATAATACTAACATCACAACATAAGCCTCGTAATGTTACTACCCTATTCCGTAAACCCAACCACATGCCCAGAACAATGAAACCTCACCCAAACACAAAGTCAAACATCATAATGTTAATAACACACCTCGCAAAAAACTGACACACACATCCCCTTACCCCAGAAATAAATCATCAACCAATACACAATCAAATAAAAAAATTATTCATCACAAAAAACTTACCCCATGCTACAAAACACGACACTTGAACCACCCAACACACAGTGGCAGCGACAAGGAAAATGACAAACTGAGAACTCCCTTATGCCAAAATACAGTGCCCCCAAAATCAATTAACACACACGAACAGAATAAGATCACCAACCCCATTAATCACTGGATTCAAATCCCCAAAAATTATCAATGTAAAATAACCTACCTTATCCAAACAAAGCCAACATCACGAAAAAAATCAAACACAATTAGCAATAAGGTCAATTAAGTAAACTCCAAACCCCCAAATCAACATACCAAAAATAAACAGGACTGAATGGATTGAAAGAAAACTTATAGGACCAAATGGTACAACTTTTCCCCAAATAGGATTTATAAGTAAATTTTCCTAAAAATAAAAATAAAAATAAAAAACTAAATTGTCAAAGTATCCATTGCTATGAAGCCGCACCTTCTTTGTCAAAATTTGAATCGGACATTTAATCAAACTTAAAAGAAGGCAACCCCAAAGAAATATTACTCAAACCACTCTATTGGATTACCATTGAGGAAAATTTTTGATAGACCCAGAGCAAATTCATGTGATTCTCTAATTTAATATTTATTTTTAAAACAGTGGGGCTTAAAATTTTTTGTTTGGTTTTGAAGAGACAACTTTACATGTGTCAAATGATAAATAATATAGAGCAATATTTCAAAACCACCAAATAAACATTTACCATTGCGGCCATGTTGGTTTTAAGATTAAAGAGATGTTGAATTAGGAAGGTGAGGTTCACATTTTTTTTCTTTTTGGCTAGTACACAGATTTATGTTTGGGTCACAACTCCCTTGATACAAATAATACTTCCTCATCTTTATCTGCCCTCCTATATTCAAAGGCAAAAATGGTGATTACCTTTGTAGTCCCAAAAGTATAGTATGAGTGATTCTACTTACACCACTACTTTACCTCTTTACACTTTCCATATGAGATTTTTTTTTTCTTCCTATTTTATCCGTGTGTGAAATTACCTCTAAGGACAAAACACAAATTAAATATATTTTATTATTTCCTTATATCCCTTGGTCATTAATCCCTACTTCTCTTTTTCATTTCTCAAATTTTCTTCTCTTACACATCTTTTTTCAAAAAGTTAGAATTATAGTGTTTTGATCATTAAAGAAAGTAATGGATGAAGAAACGGTGGCGAAGAACCATAAAAAAAAGTAAATTAGTTGTTTTTTTTTTATTTGTTTGGCAGGTTTTTGTTTCGTTTTTCTGAACTGTTCTTCGACTTTTATTCGGTATTTCAAAATCGAACAAAATAAAATAGTCCGATATTATATTCTCGAACAAAAAATATATGTCTAGTAACCAACTGCCGAATAAAAGATACATTTTCAGTAACCCAAGGCCAAATTTTTTTAAAAATATGTTTGGCTACTCATTATCATGTATTTTCACTTTCTTTTTTTTTTATATATTTAGTACTACATTATTAGTGGACTCCAGTCATGAATTCATTACAAACGAGGTTTGTTTAGTTTTTTTATGAATATGATTTTTTCTTATTTTTAATTTGTATTGAGTTTTATTAATAATTTGACATATAAATGTATTTATTATGTTTAGATTTTTAGTAGTCATCAAGCACTAATTAAATGGGCTTTTGACATTAGAAAGGAGACTAAATTTGTCATTGTTATAAAGACATCAGATACGGGAGGTAATGACAGAAAACCAAGACTTACACTTGCTAGTGAAAAAAGTGGCTACTATAGAGACAACAAGAAGATCAAGGGGGAACGATTGAGGTTGACAAGTTCTAAAAAGTGTGGATGTCTATTTCTATTAAAGGGGGGAAAATTACCTACAAATGATGAGCAGATGTTGCATGTCTTATGTGGAGTGCACAACCATCCACCTATTGAACATCCTGAAAGGCACTCATTTGCTAGCGGATTATCTACGGAGGAAACATCCTTGTTAGTTGACATGTCAAAGAGTATGGTGCAGCCAAAAGAGATATTGGCTACATTGAAATGAAGGGATGCCTTTAATGCGACAACAATGAAGACAATCTACAACGCACGTCACCGACATCAAGTAGTATAGAGGGCTAGAAGATCACAGATGCAACAACTATTGGGGCAATTGTCGATTCATAATTATGTTGAGTGGCATCAATGTGATGATAGAGAGATGGTGACTGACTTGTTTTGGGCACACCCGGTTAGTTTGGAGTTGTTACGTGCATTTTTCATGTGTTGATTACGGATTGCGCATACAAGACTAATACGTATCAACTCCCTCTCTTAGAGATTGTTGGGGTAACATCAATGAACTTGACATTTTCAGTTGCTTTTGCTTATCTTGGTCATGAACAGGAGGACAACTATACATGGGCTTTAGGCGTATTGCGTACTGTTATGGAGAAGACTGCTTTACCAAAAGTCACTCTTGTAGATAGAGAGTTGGCTTTGATGAAAGCCATCTCAAAAGTTCTACCTATGGCGACTAATCTTTTATGTAGATGGCATATTAGTAAAAATGTTCTGATAAAAGGTTTTTGAGATGAAAGAGGATTCAATCAACAATTTTCCAATCTCAAGACCGAATTTAGTACGTATCCTGAAGCTATTAAGTATGATACTACCAATTGGCTAGAGCTATACAACGAAAAATTTGTTGCAGCTTGAATAGACAATACTATGCACTTCAGAAATAGCACTATGAGCAGGTAAATTATGCTCATTACATTTATGAATTGCTATAATCTTTTGATTTTTATATTAAATACCAAATTATACATACTTGTAGGGCAAAGAGTTCTCATGCTAAATTGAAGAGGCAACATTGATCAAGTTAGGGCAGTTTTGAAACATCTTTGACCAAAATACACAACTTGTTAGAGTTGCAGCATGCAGACATTAAAGCCTCATTTTAGCGGAGTTTGATTTTAGTCCAACACAACTACACACCTATTGAGTTCATTGAGTTACGTGGTTTTATTTCAATTTTTAGTTTGGGCAATATATTGGTAGAGTCAAAAAGATCGAATAATGTGGGAATAAATGTTGCTGCATGTGGCTGCATTTTGCGATGTACTCATGGGTTGCCATGTGCACATGAGATAGCTGAATATTTTCAACAAGGTCAACCGATTCCCCTCTAGTGTGTAAATCCTCATTGGAGGAAGTTAGATATGCTTCTAGTTTCAAAAAGTGCTTTTGTGGAGTTGGATTGCGAAACAGAGACAAGTTTTTTTGTTGAGAAATTCCAAGCGATTGACGAGACGCAACATGTGATCCTTTTGAAGAAGTTGAGAGTTAACTAGTCCGAACAATACATTTTTGGTGAAACCTGAACTCAAGATTGACACGCGAGGTAGACAGGAGATAATGGAGCTGGTGGAATAGTTTAGACCCTACCAAACTATTGCAAAACCCTATTGGGGTGATAGGGTTCAACAATATCAAAGCATTTCAAGCATCCAGTATAATATGCAACATCATGAAATGGATGATGTGTCCTACATAAACGGTATGGATCCCACTCAATTTACAAATAAGCAATGCATAATATTAGTTATAAAATCTTATTTTTTTTTTACAATATGACACTATTACAAAATGCCTAATCTCATTAGCATATAACATGTCAAGCTTCTCTTGTAATGTTTGCAAGTGGTTTTCTGTAAAACCCCCATCTCTTCACGGACTCCACTGATAGGCACGAGGTTGTTCATCAGAATACGACAAATTTGAATGAGGCCTTCCTAAACGAAAATGCTTATAAATCCAAGATTCTAATAGCTTCATGTAACCAACAATCTGTTTAACGCCAGCCCTACTAGCAAGTCCTAATTGTGTATATAGGAATGCCAAAGCTACAGCACCCCATGCATATAAGCCAATAACATCAATGTCAGTCAACATGTGCAGGTCAGCAACGGGTACTTGAGTCCTACTCTCGTTAGTGAAGAAGGTACAACCTAATAAATATAACAAGTAAGCTCTGGCTGCGTACTTTATGAAATTTGCATCATCTGTATCTTTAACTTCATGAAATCTGATTCTCAACCACTCCAGCTTCACGAATTGACCACAAGATTGAACTAATTCTACGAATGCATCATTCACTGGCACTTCCAAAGTAGAACTCACTAGTTCAGCAGCCTCGTATCTTGTTAACTTAGAACATGACAAAGCTTTGCCAGTGACTGGAATGCTAAGTATGGTTTTCATATCATCCAACATGATAATAATCTCACCATCTAGCATGTGAAATGTATTTGTCTCTAGATGCCACCTTTCCACGAAGGCAGATATTGCCACTCTATTGCCATGTCGATATGTGTGATCAACAAGGACACTAAGACCAAACTGCTCAACCAAATGTCTCCACCTAGCATTTTCGACTGTTGGTGACATCCATGGCCACTTGGCAAGCTTTTAAGAAAGATTCAAAACATTTAAGACGTCCTCATTCCTGCATTTTACATAAAACATATAAATAATTTGAATCATATAGTACATATGATTAGTTTATTGTTGATAAATTCAAAAAGTACCTTTTTCTTCCAAACAGTAGCAACAACATGGTTATGAAAGTTAATTAGCAATGAAGGATCCCCTAGAGCACCCGAAATTGGTTCTATGTTGTCATCATCCACACCAACATCGTCCTCTATGAGGTCAACCACTATACCAATATCATTATCGACATCGTCATCATCCACACCAACATCATCATCAATATAATCATATTTACATCAACATGGCCATCCTCCTCCACCAGGACATTTACTTCCAATGCTTCAAGTTCTATTTGCCTAGCACGTCTTCTATTGGATGTCGTTGGTCTCTTCCGTAAGACACCACTAACCATTTCTGTGTTAAAAAAAATAAATTAAATCCAATATCAACAAAAACTCGAACATCTTAAATGATTTATGTGAACAATAGCAGCAAACAAACTAGAATTTCATAGATAACATGCAATTTAAAAAAAATAAAAATTGAATGTGCAAATGTATAGAAAAGGGAGAATTTTCTAATTATAGGTATGCACTCTGTTTCCCTGGCCAAAATGTTGTCACCATTCATTAGATCATTAGAAGTACACAAAAACAAGACAATAACCATATTAGATTCTAATACATATAACGTGTCCGCATAGCTAGATGAGATTTGTGGTTAAAGAGCAACTGTACAATATTTTGCAAAGGACAGCATTATTCATTCTATAAAAATTAGTGTAACTACTCTTATCTTGTCAACAAGATTATGTATGGAAGGATTGAAAAACCAGCAAAAACAAATTAACCAACTCCAAGTTGCATATATGTCCACAAACCAACTTGGCAAGTCACAAATCTTGGTGTACATCAAAAGTTCTAATAGATTAGAAGCATGGTTAGTTTGAGCTACCTTTTTTTAAGTTCTTATTATCAATCTAGATTGCCTATTTTCATGTTTAGAGTTAAGAATCAAATAACAAAGATGAGTCATCTTCCTTCTGTCCAAGATTTTTTTGTTACTCATTGCTTAATCATCCGGCCACATAGTTTTGTCATTCATGTTAAATACTTCATTAGTATTCCTCATTTTCTTTTGATTGGGTCAGAGACAATTTCCTATTAATCTTATGTTCATATGTTGGTTTTTTGAACTCACCGCTACATCTTGTGATAGAGATGACATTTGCCTATATGATGAATTACAGGATAATCAATTACAATATTCTTGTCTTGTTTTGCAACAACAATCCTTAAAATTCATAAAGAAGAGTGTGTGATTCGAAAATCCAGGATTTGAATTGATGTCCTTTCATTGATTTCTCTTAAATTGCATTGATTTATCCTGAAGATTTCATTTTAACTGGAATTCGCCTGAAATGGCTTCTGAAGTCAGTTTCTAAAGCCACAATAGAAAGATACAAAGATGAGGTTCAATCAGTAGGACAATTGCATTGTGGTTATTAATCATCCGACCACATAGTTTTGTCATTCATGTTAAATACTTCATTAGTATTCCTCATTTTCTTTTGATTGGGTCAGAGACAATTTCCTGTTAATCTTATGTTCATATGTTGGTTTTTTGAACTCACCGCTACATCTTGTGATAGAGATGACATTTGCCTATATGATGAATTACAGGATAATCAATTACAATATTCTTGTCTTGTTTTGCAACAACAATCCTTAAAATTCATAAAGAAGAGTGTGTGATTCGAAAATCCAGGATTTGAATTGATGTCCTTTCATTGATTTCTCTTAAATTGCATTGATTTATCCTGAAGATTTCATTTTAACTGGAATTCGCCTGAAATGGCTTCTGAAGTCAGTTTCTAAAGCCACAATAGAAAGATACAAAGATGAGGTTCAATCAGTAGGACAATTGCATTGTGGTTATGAGGAAGGAGGGTGTTCACACAAAACTGTATAATAAAAGCTAAAGGAACTAAATTTAATGAAAAAGACATGACATTAGTTTTCAATACATATTGACTAATGAATTACTGATAAATAAATATAAAAAGAAAAGAGATCAAGTGTTTTGTGAATTAAAACATTAAACAAATCCGATGTAAATATGCGAAACTTGAGAGGCTTATTATATTTTCTCTAAACTTTATAAGAGGTAAGCATAATTTACCCAATTAAGAACTACCACCACCACAAACATCTACATTTGGTAAGATGTGAAAATTATATATATATATATTTAAACAAAAAACTATCAACAACATAAATATCCAGCAATTCCACTAGTATTTCAAAGTTGGATGCAAAGGTCATCCTCAATGCCAAGTTGTACTATTTAATATTAAATCTTTACACCTTCTAAAAGCTACTTATAGTCTCAGGTAAAAAATTCCCAAATCAAAATCCTTGATTTGGGAATAATTAGAAAAATTCCTTCATATTTAGCATCCCATAGAACGAAGATGACTCCTAATCCCAAAAAATACAAATGGGATTCCAATATGTATATATAGAAGAAACAAACTTCAATGAGCAGATACTAGGTGGATGCAAAGTCAGCAGAAATTTTGGAATCACTACAAAAATTTTGATTTTTTGCGACGGCACGGTGCCGTCGCTAATGCTCTTAATGTCGTCTCAAAAAGCTTTAGCGGCGGCAAATGGGGGGTCACAACAGAGGGCATTTTAAAAATCTTTTAGCGACGACATCATGTCGTCACCTTTTTTTAGCAATGGCAATTGTTACCTTTTGCGACGACAATTTACTGTCGCATATAATATGTAAAAAAGTCAGGCCTTTTGCGACGACATCATTTTACCATCGCTAAAAGTTTTATTTGAGATGGCAAAAAATGTTGTCACAAATGGTTTTGTTTTTTTGCAACAGCATGCCCACTGTCACCAATGCTTCTAATATTTTTTTGTGACGGTATGGTGAAGTCGCCAAAAAAAAAAATGTATTGCATTATAATTATTAAAAATATTAAAATTACCTGTGTTTTTGCAACAATGTAGTGTCGTCACAATAAATAAATAAATAAACTGTTATATAATTATTAAAAATATTAAAATTACCTGTTTTTTGCGACAGTGTGGTGCCGTCGCAAAAAAAAATTAAAAGTATTAAAATTACCTGTATTAAATGAAAAACAATTGAAAAAGAAACCAATAATTGCATAATAATATAAAAATTCCTGTATAGAAAAAACAATTTCTCCATAATAAAAATATTCTTGCATTCATAACTACACATCAACAAAATTACCCACTACATAATGTTCCATAATACATATATAATATTTAAATACATAATGTTGTTCATAATTCAAAATAACATAAACCAAAATTACAAGTTTTGTTCATCATTCTCTGTGGGTAACAAAAATAAAAATTAGATGCATTCTTCACAGACATGCATTCTACAAGAAGGAAACTCCTACTCGGGAAATATTTAAAAACAAAAAATAAATATAAATAATGACAATATAATTATGTGTTAATATGTTAATTACAAAAAAACATAAAAATTTAACTACTATACAATTACAAAGATAATTAAGTAAATAATTTTGCCCAGACCGAAATCCGGCTCTAACTCCCAAACTGGAAACCCAATTTGAGTCTCGTCTTCTCCCACAAGTCTCTCGTTCCTAGGCGGTCGTGTGTGCCAAGTTTTGTGCTACTTCAACGTCGTTTGGTGATTTTGGGTCGTTAACACCTCGAATTCTAAGTTTCTTAAGAAACTAGTTTGTCTAGAGTGAAATCCGACCTTAACTCCCAAACTGGGAATCCTATTCGGGTCCCATCTTCTCCCACAAGTCTCTCATTTCTAGGCGATTGTGTGTGACAAGTTTCGTGCTACTCCAACGCCGTTTGGTAATTTGGGGGCATTAACACCTCGAATTCTAAGTTTCTTAAAAAACTAGTTTGCCTAGAGTGAAATCCGGCCCTAACTCCCAAACCGGGAACCCGATTCGAGTCCCGTCTTCTCCCACAAGTCTCCCATGCCTAGGCGGTCGTGTGTGCCAAGTTTCGTGCTACTTCGATGCCATTTGGTGATTTTGGGGTATTAACACCTCAAATTCTAAATTTCTTAAGAAACTACTTTGCTTCTTAAGAGTGAAATTCGGCTCTAACTCCCAAATCGGGAACCTGATTTGAGTTCCATCTTCTCTCAATAGTCTCTCGTGCCTAGGCGGTCGTGTGTGCCAAGTTCCATGCTACTCCGACGCCGTTTGCTGATTTTGGGGCATTAACACCTCAAATTCTAAGTTTCTTAAGAAACTAGTTTGTTTCTTAAGAGTGAAATCCGGCTCTAACTCCCAAACCGGGAATCTAATTCAAGTCCCGTCTTCTCTCCACAAGTCTGTCGTGCCTAGGCAGTCATGTGTGCCAAGTTTCATGCTACTCCGACACCGTTTGGTGATTTTGGGGCGTTAAAACCTCGAATTCTAAGTTTCTTACGAAACTAGTTTGCCTAGAGTGAAATCCGGCCCTAACTCCTGAATCGAGAACCCGATTCGAGTCTCGTCCTCTCCCACAAGTTTCTCATGCCTAGGCAGTTGTGTCTACCAAGTTTCGTGTTACTCCGATGCCGTTTGGTGATTTTGGGGCATTAACACCTCAAATTCTAAGTTTCTTAAGAAATTAGTTTGTTTCTTAAGAGTGAAATCCGGCTCTAACTTCCAAACTGGGAACCCGATTCTAGTTGTCTTCTCCACAAGTCTCTCGTGCCTAGGCGGTTGTGTGTGCCAAGTTTTGTGCTACTCCGACGCCGTTTGGTGATTTTGCGCCATTAACACCTCAAATTCTAAGTTTCTTAAGAAACTAATTTGTTTCTTAAAAAAAGAGTGAAATCTGGCTCTAACTCCCAAACTGGGAACCTGATTTGAGTCCCGTCTTCTCCCACAAGTCTCTCGTGCCTAGGAGGTCGTGTGTGCCATG